TAATTGTAAATTTTGATTTAAACCACTCTATTTCACAAAATAATCTGTTGTCAAATTATTTTTAAAAAATATTAGAGTTTCAGGGTTTCAAATGAACACTTTTTTTATTTTGTCCAAACTAATAGTCATTGCTAGAAAGTTAATTTTCGTGTTCGGTTACATGTGTGATCCACTGTATATACAGGACTGCGATCCCAGGATCGAGTCCTTTTGTAAGTTTGGGGATTTGCCATTGTCTATTAGTAACTTACGAAACAAAGAATCATAATAAACGCAGCATGTCTCAAATAAGTTAAACTCTCAACACGACTCGATTATTTAAATAACAAAGGCAGTATAAAGAAATAGAATAAACATTTATCTCTAAAAGAAATAACCTTTATTAGTTTCACGATCATTGTTATCCATGTGATCGTAATTTGAGAAATTCATAGTGACATATTACGTACATATAAATTATATGGCTAAGAAACAATTTGATTGGGTGGACTTATTTTGAAGGATTTTAGTTCAGGATCTGATAAAACTAACGATTTATGGAATAAGTCCAGGACGGTCCTGGGACCAGACCGGACTGGACATATTGTTTAACATCACTATTTACAGTAGATATTTCGATTCTTAGCGTTAGTGATAAAAATACAGTATCTACTTGAGAATCGATTCTCAAATTGAAATCGATTAATCAAATTTATTAAAACGATTAATCGAAATTATTAATCGATTCCTATCCCTACCATGGGTATTACACGTATTTATACACCGGGTAGAAAAGTCCCATGTATTCGTCATACTTTATTAAAATCTCGTGATAAAAATCGTTTATTATTAAAATCATGGTAAAAATCATATTGTCAGTTTATTATTTATTAATATCTTGAGTATTTGGGGGGGGGTATGACGAGAAGCGATTAGAACTATCACTTAAAGGCGCATAACACGTGGCCTTCGGCCGCATGATTTTATTATCCAGTAATACTAAGTATATACAAGTGACTCTCGTTTAGTAAACTCTCTTGATATAGTAAAGTTCGTCCAAAACCAGTCTATAATAAATCCTCTCGTTATAGTAAATTTACTAATAAACTCTCGATATAGTAAATTTTGAGGATTTTTTACTAATGGTACGGAATAATATCATAGTAATAAAGTATTATGTAAATTAGAAATCGTTATACTGTTCTGTTTACTATTGTTGTTGATAGAATCAAGACTGCTAGATCATATCGATATTGTATGCGTACAAATTACATTATGATGTTATTCTAATTTCTGGAATGAGTTGGTGTAACTATACTAATCTATTGTCTGCATGAATGAAATTCATTCTCAATTTAAATTATTTTTGGTCTTATACGTAGTTACCATAGTCTAGTTTACAGAATAATATATACAAGTGACTTGATTTGCTCGATTGGTGTTGAATTCATCACGCAGGACACGGATCTTACGTCTAACACTAAAGTTAAATAATAATGATAATAAATAAATATGCATAAAGTGCTTTCTTGATGGTGAAGATGTTTTGGTACTATTATTAGGCAAAACACTGGGAAAGGTGAACCTGTATTTTTAAAATTTAAAATTCGATTGAACAAAGTACATGTAAATGTTCTAGAATTTCAGTTTGACATTACTGTAAACAATAAAATGATGATGTGACCTGTCAAATAATTTATTTTATTGTTTACATATGTATATCTAAAAAGGAATGCATAATTATTTATCGTTACGGAAAGTTATTTTAGAGAAATAAGCTGTTTATATGATACTAGCGCTAGATTAAAAATAATAAACTACGTGGTACAGGAAACTACTGTAATTACATGTAATTGATTCGACAAATTAAATAAAATGTTCTTATTCTAAATTTAATGTTGCTTATTTATCTATAAGCATTTTCGAGAATAGTTAAGGTGTTATTATCATCCAGATCGTCAAAAGCTCCAAAATATAATTTCTGTGGATGAATTACGATCTGACCGTTGACGAATTGGTTCAACATGCTGGAATAATGCGAGTTGATTTGTAATTGAGGTTGTTGACCAGGTGGATTATTTGGAGTAAGTAATTGCTGTAAGAGAATTTGATTTGGTTGTGGTTGGTGAATTTGTCGTTGTTGCGTTTGAGTAAGAACACCGCGCTGAATATTACGATTGCTTTGGTGAGCCTGCAATGGTATTAACGTACTTGCTTGATTATTATCGATTGTACGTGTGTGAGGGCTTGTAATTTGACTCATTCTCTCTTTATTTGTAAAGGTTTTTTAAAGGATAAAAAATTTGGATGTTTGAAAACATATGCTTTTTATATATTTATGATCTAGTTATTACACAAACTTGTACCGATTAGAAACAAAGGCATTCTTACAAAGAATGAACGTGTGAATCTTCTCGACCGAACATTTAGTAATCAGAAGTTATCTAGTTTGTGAATCGCAAGCATACTTACTACCTAGGGAGTGCCTTGGGCGTTATGCTTAGTCAGGTCGCCAAGCACACCACATAATCGAAGATTCAAATTCCCAAAGTAATTTCATAGTATTCATTTGAAGTTTCTTATATATTACTGCGCTTTTTAATGGAGCTTACTAATAATTAAATTATATGTGTTATTTTTCAATAAATACCTCTTGACAATCACTGCGGTATAATAGATTATTATTGAAATTATAAATTAATTACGTAAACAAAGGATTTTCCATTGACATTTGATGGTGCGAAAAATTTATCGTTATAGAAAAGCTATTGATCCGATAATTATATGTAATTGGTGACACTCATATTAGAAAAAATTCATGTGGTCGGCACTATTATCAAACTGGTTTATGTCCTGTTTGATATCCGAATATTGTACATGTCGGTTTTAATATTATTTAATGTGACAACTCTCGTATTCTTTTTCGGCATTTACAAAACAAGATACGGGTTTACCAACACTTTCTATAGCGATACGTATCTTTTATTTTATGTAACTATGCTAACTATTCTATACGTAACCACTTTTTAAAGTAATGTATTATAATGAGACATTGTTGTGTATACGGTTCAGCTAAGTCATCAAACGTTTGTATTTTAAAAAATGGATAAACTTCCTTACTAGTTAGTAAAATTTAATTCGTGAATATGATAGAATAGGCCCTTTCTGAGATATTCTCGGATTAAATTTTGTATTTACTTTTAGTAAAGAAGTTTATCCATTTTATAAAATACAAATGTTTGATGACTTAGATGTTATGCATCATAGATATCGTCATAATCACAGGTAGAAAGGATAAGTTCCTTCTCTAGGCGGAATTCCAATTAGTGATCCTAACCGTTTCTAAATACGAATTCATAAATATAATATAGTACGAGATGATCATTTCTATTTAGTTATTTTATCAGGTGACCAATTAAAAAGTTACTATAAATGGAAATATTTGTTAAGTGTGGTTATTAACCTGTTACGAATTTTCCGATTTTCCTAATCGTTTATACGTAGTCATCATGTAATCAGTCAGAAACGGAAAAAATCACGTGAAATTTTAACCGACTAATCATCGCAGAAAATTATATCAAGTAAACCAAGGAATAAAAAATGCTCAGCGGCGCTAAGATATTCTTATTGATTACTGTACAAGTACAGGTGATCAACAACACATGTTAGAAACAATTTACATGTAATTCATGTCGGATGATTAGAAAAACTGGAATTCCGCCTAGACGTTTCTTTACCTGTGCTAGTAGTTTAATTCGGGATTTCCTAATTTCTACCCACAAAAATCACCCCTTTCTACCTGTGAACCTCATGAAATTAGTTAAGAACAGAAATGGATACAAATTGTATTCTAGTCATTATTCACGATCAGAATCAAGTACTTGATTAAAAAAGTCGGGCATGAATGACTTTTCTAAATCATTTCTAAAAATTAACAGTCAAACTTTAATACCTAAAATCAAAACTTAAAATTTCGTAAATAATCAAACTACCACCAACATTGCAATACTTTCTATTATTATGATTGACGAGGAAGAATCATCCGTAATCAATAGCATTTAGCATCCTTGGAGATTTGGAAGCATTGGATAGGATACAGTCCCCGGTGAAAGTAATGGCGGTACAACTTTTACCATATAATTACTGGTGTGAATAAATACATGTGGTACAGTGCGTCACTGGTCCAAAATGTATTTGTAATGTTTAAGGGCCATATTCTGATAGGCGCTGGATTTGGCATTAGAAATTATAAATATAGATTAGAAAAGTAAAAATAATAAGCATGAAATGAATAAATATTTTGAGATAAAGGTATAGAAGGAGAATACTCCATGTCTTAATCTTTTGAGAGTATAATGCATTACTCAGGGGCATTTTATAGTAAACTTTTTTCAATAGTTATTTATTAAAAATTTCTTTCTCTTCAAAAAAATCTCATTGCCATTATTTTCGCCAGGACTCAGGTATCAAATTAGAATACTGTATATGTATGATTAACATGATCATTACAATATTATTAGTGGCACAACCCACTCTTGTTATTGTGAGTGCATCTGGGCTTTAGAGAACTTTTTTCAAAAATCCACTACGTATATTGATAAATGATTATAGACTCAGGTTCACTATCAAGAGCTTACTATATTAAGAATCTAATTAACCTTCAGTATATCGTGAACACCATTTATTATTCAAATAATTGTGGATAAATCATTATGATTTAGAATCTCTATTATCAACATTTTTAATACCAAAATCTATTTTTTATCAACATTTATTGCAGAACAAATTTCACTTGGACTAATATATTGATATTAACTCTAAGCTCTGAGTTATCAACCCTCTTATATACAGTCAACCCTCTCTATTGACAACATGAGGACAGGCATTTTTGTTGATATATAAGAGGATTGATAAATCAGAGGTTAAAGTTAGTATCGATATATTAGTCCAACTGAAATTTGTTCTGCAATAAATGTTGATAATAAAGAGGTATATTAAAGAGGTTGATAATAGTGAGAGTTGATTGGTTTGATAAAGTAATGGAGGATACCATCAGTGGTAATATCAACTGCGTCATAGTGTGTTAATGATTGATATTATTGCGTTCCTTCTAATATTTATAATATTTACCAAAAGAGCTTATTCTGCGATGATTGGGGACACCAGATTATTGCAGTTATTGCAATAACCAATCGATTCAAGGAACTTTCTCCAACAGGGTGGGAGTTAAACGTATTATTTACGATTGGAGGATTATCCATTTGTTCTAGAGGCTTTTCGTGGTAATTTGTTCACAAATCGGCCTTTTCAAGATGACGAGGAGGGTATTTGAAAAATAGATAGATATAATTACTCTTGTAATAAGAGTCATTTTGTTATAATAAAGATTTATTTTATTTTAATACCGATTGATGTGAATATGCAGGGCTTATTGATACAGCCTGTCCAAAAAAAAACTCAATACAAAAGGATGATTCGACGGGACTTATTGATACGGTCTGTCCAAGAAACTAATTTTAACAGGACTTATGGTATGGCCTGTACAAAGAAAACAAAGTCAACTTAACAGTACTTATTAGTACAACCTGTTCAAGAAAAATAAAATCAAAATAACAATTCAAAAGAATTCAACAGATTATTTAGAGTGGAGGAGCATCTACTACTTGTAATCACTTACAAAATTTGAAGTTTGAGCACAAAACAAAAGAAAATAATAGTGTATTCACAAATAATATTATTATTACGAGAGTAAGAACTTTGTTATTTTATTTGATTTTAAAGCACGACTTAATGACGCTTCTATATACAATTTCGAATTATTATGCTAATCTTATGCTAATTCTAAGGTTAGTAATTTAATTGATGATTTCTTTTAACATGACTAAACACTAATTGTTTGATTGTCTTTCAATTGTCCAAACAATTGTTATCCTCTTTTTTATAATTACTATTGTTACGTATATTTTGTCGATGTTCTTTAATTGTCCAGATGATTGTCATGATTATCCTCTCGATACTCGTTACCATTATATGTATTAACTATCGTTCGACATTCCTGATTGTTCAAATAATTATTGTGATTGTTACAAATAAAAAAAGGTAATATCTATTCCTAACGAAATACATACGTACTTCTAAATTTGGTTTTATACAAGAAACTAATTTTGAAGTGATTTTCATGTAGGTCGTTATGGAAAGATTTTATGTAGAAATTGAGAAACAAAATTACGGAATCGAAGAATTTAATGCTACTTCAGTAACAATAATGATAGCAATAGGTACATGTAGTATATAATAGGTACCAAATATAAGCAATATATATGTACATGTAATAGAATTCACATGAGCAAATCACCAGATCACAATTAGTTATATAAATCGGACAGTACTTAATCATGTGTTTTTTTCCAGGCTGGTACAGTGGATCACGTGTAAATGTACTAATAGGTGATAGTGCATATTATTATTGCCAGCAAACAACTTCCTTAATTATGATTTTTCAGGGACAAATGATGAAAATAAGTCATAGATGTCACTAATGTGGGATTATTGCATGTGTAGTATTGCTGATTTCCAAAATTGGTAGAGTTTACAACAATAATTGCAGCAATTCCCATCATGATTGTTAATAATGCTGCAGATTTCCCAATTCGGTAAACTCTTTAGCAGCTAATTCCCATCACAATTGTCAATAATGCTGCTGTTGTAAATTATTCATCAAAACAGCACCAAATTTTGTCACAAATGTCAACAATGCAGTTTGTGGATTTTTCAGTATGGTGACATGCTAATAAAAACAGCAAGCTCCCTTTTTAGTATGCGACACAGAATTATGCTATTTCTTGCATCATTTTCAGCATCGCCTCATTGTTTTTCAGCATTTCCTCATCATTCAGCATTTCTGCATCAGTTTTCAGCATCTCCTCATCGTTTCAGCATTTTCTCATCATTTTCAGCATCTTCTCATCATTTTTCAGCATCTTCTCATCATTTTTCAGCATCTCCCTAGCACGCTTTAGCACGGTTCCGTTAGTTTTTGATTTATTTTGTAACACTTACTTCTATAGATGATAGAGCGCTCATTGTGAACCCTTTTTTATTTTATTAATAGTAAAATCTAATGCTTTCTTTTTATTTAATAGTACAAAAAAATAATAATACGCCGAAAATGTATAAAAGAATGGCCCATGGGCTACTAATAGAGAACAAAATAAAAGTGCGTACAATTCTTCTCCAAGCAAGATACAGCTTGAATCTTTGCGTATAACTATGCTTAAAAGCGAATTATTGTTTGTAAAACTCTTTCCCCTTTTCCCCACGTTAATCAAGATATTGTATTAGGTCCTTTACACCAGAAAAGACGTAGATTCGCATTGTTATCAAAAAACCATTTTTGTGTAATCACCGTTGTTGTTATTATTTAAGAGTTTAAGGCTTTTATCTAGAAAAAGCAACGATTGTTAATAATATTTTTAAGAGTTTAAGGCTTTTATCTAGAAAAAGCAAAAATAAAGGAAATCCCCCTAACACTCACCCGAAACACATAATCTTTTCTTCACCCCAATCAACATAAACGACGATATCCGTAGATATCGGCACAGACTTTAGATACCGAAAGAATCCACTGTTTAGTCTACCAACCTCTCCAAAGTCTTGTTGCGGCATAAATCCTTTAATTCGCTAAAACAAAACATAAGCGCAACAATACATAGCCTTCACAGGTTACGCGTTCAACGAGTTCAACGATCCATTTGTAATGGCGGCACCATAACAATACCATGATAGCTACATGATAGTGCCAAAAGTTAATTAAAGATTTAATATATAAGATAGTAGGGAAGGAAATGTAAAAGCATAACTAGTTTTTGGGCACTAAAAACAAGCCTTATAATAAATCAATCTTTATTCTCTCATTAATCTATTTTAAAGCTTTGTGTGATACATCGATTATTATACATGAATTTGCATCAATACACCGATTATAAATTTTTACAGCACTGTCTCGGAAAAGATCACGTGATTAAGCACTGTTCCACTGTCCGTAAGCTCGTATATAAATATAGATAATCTCGTGACAGCATCACTAAGTCGGATAAAAGTCACCAGACATGGACATTGTCATTATGTTATGTAGGTAAAACAATCATTTGGAAAGTGAGAAAGCTGGTTTAATAATTAAAAAACCTTGCATTTATTCGAATAAAACGTTGATGGCGACGATGTCGGTTCATTTAATTTTGCGATTTTACGATCCACACTAACGCCAAAAAAAGCATGTATAATGATAGAAATTCAGAAGTCACTGTCACTAAAGGATTCAAATAAGAACATTATCATCCAACCACTTGATTCGTTTGTCTTTTATATTGAGGAAAATACATGAGAAATATCGATATTGAGTCTTAGATTTGACTTAGAATTTCGTCGGATGCGGAGCTGAAGTTTTGACAAAAATAAAGTGCAACAAAATCACAGAATATTGATAAAGATAATATTACTCTTGATACGATTTTGAGTTTAATTGAATTTGTTTGCTCAATATCATAAGATTGAAACAAGTTAAATGATTTTTAAACTATTTAATATTAGTTTATTGTTTCTATTTTATCTTATTCAGCAAAAATTATTATTAGGATACGTATTAGGTATGACAAAATATCTTTTCGATTAATAACAAATTCATGATGAAACGCTTTCAACAAAATAAAGAAGAACGCTGCTTTGTTAGAAGAAATGGCAACTACTTAAAAATGATTTCCATTGCGTGCTCAATGGCCAAAAGCGGTTCTATTTTTATTAAAACGCATACAGTTATCGTTATTGATTTTCATTTTTCACGTTACGTAACGCTTGAGAAATTGTTATCGTTTACTTACTACGTTTGCTGGTATCTTTATAGCATATTGATAACGTGTGTCATTTCTATAAATCGAGTTCTTTTATTACGTACAACATGCTTTTTTTACATTGTGTGTATGGTTATCTATTCAATATCTCTGGACTGATATAAGGCAACACTCCGTAATTCTTTCATCTGCTAGGCCGGAATGAAATTCATTATACATAAGTTCCTCTGTGCGAATTCTACACAGCTCTCGCTCTCCAATAATATAAATTGAATGACTTATTTTTCTTTCCAAGTCAATTCTTCGTAATTGGTAATAATATATTTGTGTAAATAGCCATTTATACCAATTACTTCGAGTATTAATTCGTACTGGGTTGGTTTTTAGTTATTCTAAAATAATTTATTCCAAAGTAAGATTATTGAATTTAGAGCAGTCCGAATATATTTTTGAAATGCCTTATTAGAGAATAAAAAAGCAACATGTTTTTTAGAATATTGATATCTATTGTTCTCATTAATTCAAGAATTGTTAGAATTAACAAAGTAACTTAACAGTGAAAGAACAAAGAGTGGATGATTTATGATTAATGGAGTTCACTAAAGGTTCTAAATGTCTCTTGTGATAGCTTGTATGCAAACTAACTTATTATCAAAGATAAAAATAGAAGCAAAGAGGGAAATTGAATAAAAAGAATAAAAGAATAAAAGAAATTAAAGAAATAACAGGACTTATTGAGAATGTCTAATGAAATAAAATAATAATTGGACTTATTGAGAATGCCAATAAAGAAAATAAAATAACTAAAAATAAAATAACCAGAACTTATTAATATGGTCTAAAATAATAAAATCAAAATAAATAAAAATAATAATGTTAACAGCTTATTTAGAGTAGAGAAGCATTCACTACTGAAATAGCTGTTGGCTTGCAGCAATTCACTTAATCAAAATCCAATGTTAGTTAAATATTTCATATATTGTGTGGTAGTTTTTTTTTTGGTCACGTATTACATGTACATGTAGAATGTCCACATGCAAACTTACAGAATTTGTAAAACTCACAGAATCGGCGTAACTTATGTCAATAGGAAATAAATTCAAAATTAATCCACAAATATGATACTTCAGGTCTTTCTTTGTCATATTTTTGGATTAAATTTATATTTACGTACTTCCTATTGACGATTATAAAAATCATCTGTTTCTATTCAGGTAAATTTATTGGTCAAGTGGCCATACACGTTACACATGCAGAATTTCCAGAAGTAAATTCTTGACTTTAAATGAGATTTTAAAGTACTAATTGATGTATTTGTTTTCGTTTTGTACACAAGCATTGGGTGGGATTTTAAAATGTTGGTGCTTCGGTGACGATTTTTTAGATGATAGCTGTTTGTGTTTCGTCATGTATATGAATTTTGAATAGCATCATCAAGTGCTAACTGGTCTTTTGCGTCAGAAAATTTGAATATCACATTCGATGTTGATTCAGTAATAACAGAATCATCTGTCGTGATGGATTCATACAAATATGTTGCATAGCGATAATACGAGTTTCGTCAAGGGATCTCCATCAAATTGTCACCCCACTTGTACATTAATATAGCCTCAAAGTAGGGATGTTGACAGCTTGATTCAAACTGGTTAAACTATAGTTTGGCCATCAGATTACAAAGGTTTAAATTTGGGAAAATGGTAAAATTGTTGTTTTGGGTTCAACGTCAGTTTAATTCATCATTTATACGTATATACATACACTGAAGCTAATTGATTTTTTCAAATTTGTATACATACCGATATTGAAACCATATGATTTACGTTACCTTATTGATGCTTCGTAAACTAAAATTACTGATTTTCATAATGACGAAAGGTTTCGTCACGTCATTTTTCGGACGAAACTTGTGTCGAAACCTCTGAATAATCAAAATAATAGCTTAAATCACATGTACAAATCCTATTTAGAAATCTAGTACGTGAGTTTGATTGGCTGAAGGCCATGGATGAATAAAATTATGCTGAATTTTGGCCAGCATTATGAAAACCTGAGAAAAGTGTATTCGTACGTAATTTTAATAAACCTCCGGTAAAAAAATTATTCGTTCATTTCAAAAAATGGTCGAGAACCGTGAGTTACGTGCTAGTATTTATTGGTCAGAAGGTTTCGTCATTCGTCATAAAAATTTTCAAAATGGTAGGTTTCGCTATCGTCGTTAAGTACAAAATTTATGTAATTATTAGATCAACTCACCTTTACATAACGATAACTCGATGCCATTCAATTGGATTCGATCTAATGGAAAATGAGAATTGCTGCACAAATGATGGTATAAATACTCAAATGATATTTTTTATTTAATATAAAAATATTGAAAAATAATTATGCTAAGACAGCGAACTTTCTTATACAAATATCTAAATTTTCTACAAAGGGAGGGGGGGTGGTACTTATCCAGAGCTTTACAGTAGATAATATTGAATTTACAGCAACAGTTAGCATTTATCAAATGGCTGTATTGGTTGACCTATTTCAGTGATAATTATAAAGGATGATAAACTTCTATTTGTGAAAATAGATAAACGATAAATTAGTCAAATATATATTGTTTATGGACTTCCTTTAGTTGATAATGATAAATAGTACAATATATAATTTACCTATCTAGAAGAGAATTCACAGAATAAGAAAATTCCAAATAAAAAAAACAAAATTCTTGATAAATCTCTTATATTACAAGATATGTGCAGATCCAAGCACCACCACATTGTCGAACGCTGCCGCCGCTACGCAATAGTATTTTTTGACCGTAAAAAAATCGGCAGGAAAAGGATTTTTAGAAATTGAGATATAAAAAGGCTTATTAAAATCTTTTACATATTCTTCCAGATTAAAGATGGAAGGTTCTATAGCATCAGGCTTTAAGGTAATATGAATCATATTGATGTAATTGGTATTGAACTGTCCATTGATAAGTATAGAGCAATTTTTTAGTTGATTGAAACTAATTTGACCTGCAACTTGGTGTTGGTTATCAGGATTAAATGTGCAGTAGACTGTTTTCTGTTCGCATGCTTCTCTCTTTTCGATCCCCTTTGGCATAGCATTGATCGATGAAAAGACAAAGATGAAGAAGGTGAGAGTAACCAAAAAAAATACGTGAGAGATTTGTTTGACCATTTTCGTTTGACTAATTTTCTCAGTGTCTTTGTGTGTGAATTTGTTGTTCTTCAGTATTGGGAAGGTTTTGAATTGTTCACATTTTTATAGATTGTCACAAATCTTTCTTTTATTAACGTTAACGTTAATACAGACCGACTTTATAATACATGTAATGCCTAAATAGAACATTGATTATATCGATATATTTATATACCCGTATCATGTACTATTTCTTTAATTGGTCCTTCAAAAAAACATTAGATCATTAAAAGTCCCAATTTTAGAAAAAACGATTGTTGAGTCGAATGACAATACATGCAGATCCAAAGAACAAACCTGTGATATTGCATATACGCATAACGATAATAAAAGTAAAATACTGTATCGGTATTCATTTTTAGTGTGCAGAAAATATAACAATGCATATCGATATGATAGTCACTACCACTACGTATGTATCTAAAAGAGAATATAGAAAACACCACCATTTTACACAGCAACTTGACATTGGGTACCATATCGATATATAAATCCAGAAAGTGCAATATTCATTCAGATGCGTGGCCTTCAAGACACAACATTCAGTAATTAATTCATTACGTACTTGTATTTTACGATGAATAATGTGTGAAATAAGAATTGAAATTTAAAAGAACTCATCGTTATCTGGTGTTGGAAAATGTAAAAAAAAGACTTCAAAAGAATAGCACAAAATTGTAACAAAAGAAATCTAAAATTTTTTAATTACGATAAGTTAATTTTATGTTTAAGAAAGGAAGCAATTGCTTAAGAGATAATTCTTCATTAAAAAAATCTTTCCATTATTAAAAATGCTCGTTGATATAAAAACCATCGCAAACAAAACAAGTATTTTTTAATTTTTCAAGAAAATGTAATTTTATTCAATTGAAAATAATCTAAATATTGCTTTTTACATACAGAATATGAAATAATTTTTGACTGTTAAAAGCCTTTAATATATCCAATAAGGAAATATTCTCCGCATGAATGATAATCAAATTAACTTTTTCTTGATTTCACTTCTGTCTAAGTCATAGTGTTCTAGTTGTTATGATTCCATGTACGTAGCCAGTTTTGATACTCGATATAACGACTATTGAGTAAACTTTATACCATACGATTCGATCACTTTGTGACGTAATATATCAATCCGATTTTCCTAATTGTTCATCAGGAACACATTACATGTACTTTGCATTTTCAGTATTACAGCTTTTTAGAATGTCTAAAAAACACATGAAGAACTTAAACAAGAATTTCAAAGAACTTGATAAGAAGGGATGAAAATGGACAAAAAAGTGTTCCTGTATATAAAAACTCGCCCAAACGCAATTTACACTAGTCGAATTTTTACCACAACCCTATGAAAAAGAAAATGACTGACATTTATCATACATGTATTTTGCATTTGTCCTAAACGTTTTTATCGTTATCGTTACGTATACGTACGTATAATGTTTGGATTGATTTGGATTGCTTGATACAGTGACTCGCTAAAGAAACGAAACGCGGAAAAAAAATGGCGAGATTCGATTGTCTCGCCATTGAAGAATTATCAAAGACCAAAAGAAAGTGGATTTCATAATAACAATCATTTAATACAATTTTTATTTTCATCTATCTTTTGAAATTAAACCAATTTGAATTTTTAATTTTTTTTAGCGTTCCGTCCATTATGACCGGTCTGGAGGATAATATTTAAAGGCAAGTTTCTCTTTAACGTTAAGAAAATATCAGCTATTGTCAAAAAAAACAATATTACACATCGCTAAACTAAGACTATCATTCTATATCGATATATCCACCCCTTGCCTGTATTACATTATTGACCCTTTCTAGCAACCTTTTCAGAAAAGTCAATTTCGATGCTCCTCCAAGCAATTTGTAGCTTTTCCCACAAATTGATTTTATTTAAAGTAGTTAGGCAACTCCAAACCATAATGGAACCACCACTAATTTTACGGTTAGGGTAACATGGTGGTCTTTTAATTATTCACCAGGCTTCTTCCAGCACCATTTGCGTTTGTCCGACCCGAATAGTTGGAACTTGCTTTCGTCTGACCAAATTATTTCCGCCAGTCATTGGTCGTCCAATTTCAGCGTTTTTTTGCCCATTTTAATCGGAGTTTTTTAAGTAATGACTTTTTTCGCTTAATCCTTGCGAATAAACCATTTCTTCTAAACATAGGTCGTACGTTTTCCGCTGAAATTTCGACTCCCAGTTCAGCTTGGAGCTCGTGTTGAACTTGGACAGCGGTAGTGCATTTTCCAGATGATATTAATCGGATGGTATTCCGTTCGTAACGATCTGAAAGAATGCGTGGACGACCTGGTTTTGGTTTATCTTCAAAGTTTTCGGTTTCTTCTTGTTTTTACAGATGCGTTGGACTGAAGCTAAGCCCACCTGCTCCGATAATGCAATTTCCCGGACCGAATATCCTTCTTGTCGGAGAGTGTATATTCGGGCGCATTTTTCTAGTGAAATGCGAGGCATTTTGAAATTAACAAATGGTTAGAATTATTGTTTAGAATACGAAAAGTGTTCTATAGATATTTTAGTGGAAAGAGTGCTTGTATACTTATCTTTATAGGCCCGAACTTTTTTTTCCAAATCGGTCATATTACAGGAACGTTAAAAAATCATTAGCTTGTGAAGTAAAAGAATAAAATATGCATTAAATGATTGTGGTTAATTTAATGAATGAAATCCACTTTCTTTTGTCTCTGATAATTCTTCAATGGCGAGATAATCGAATCTCGCCATTTTTTTCCGCGTTCCGTTTCTTTAACGAGTCACTGTATATGAAAATTAGGATCGATATAACGATAATATTTTATGAGACCATTCAAGGTCGCATGCTAATGCTTTAAACGTTATCTAGAGCATTTTCTTGGCAAAAGTGATCGGCGTTCCAAATTAGAACGCGTAATTTTTTATCTGTTCTTGTATAAAGAAATTACCAAATTTAAAGCCCGAGTCACGAAATTAGAACAGAAAATGGAAGAATTCGAGAAGCAAAACCAAACTGTTACTATTTCGCAACCCTCGGCTTGTTCGGACTTGGTGCAACTATGTATTGAATAAGTTTAAACGAGAGTAAACTTAATATAAATCCATATAATATATTTATTTAAATAATAAAATTATCTATCTTTTACAAAGGTTGTTTCGTCTATTGTTTTGTGACTCCTGATGTCTTTTTAGATTCTTCTGAATCCTTTAACTCCTTTGACTCTATTGACTCAAAATATGTAAAATCCTTTTGAAGTTGTTTTGAATCACGGCTAAAGCTTGTTAATTTCTGTTCAAATTCTCCTAATTTTTTTTCAAACTTTTGTAACGCATATAACTTGTTTCCTTTTAACCCCTCAAGTTTATTTACTAACTCCGCAAATTCATTTTCTAACCCCTCAAATTCATTTTCTAACCCATCAAATTTCAAATCCTTCTGCATCTTTTCCGAGCTGTCAAATTTTTTCTTTAACCTCTCAAGTTCGTATTCAAGTTTTTTTATTGGCGTTCCTTTTAAATTTTGATATTTTGCATCAAAATTCCCACGTAAATCGGTATGGTTTTTTGTTGATACATTGCATTTATTTCTTAGATCATCAAGGCGTTCGTGTATAGTCTGTTTTTTTGACGCACAAACTTCTGCGTCTCCTATACCGTGGAGAAGATACTCGATTGCTTTTTTTCTCGCTTCCGACAAAAAAACATTCTCTAGATCTTTCTTACTAAGACCATAGAAATAATAGAGACGAGTAAAAACAATAAACTTATAAAAACGATTCATTTCCCCCTCCTCCTCCTCTTCCTCTTTTTTGTTGTAATGTAAAATAAAATAAAGAAATTGAGAAGTAACAAGACAAAAACAACCACCAAAAATAAGAAGAATATCGAGTTTAAGACTATAATGGTAAGAAATTAAACGAATAATATCTATCACAACAACAATAAGAAAAACGATAGAACCAACAATAACCCATTTGGCCTGACTTGCTATTGCTTTTTGCCGATTCTGATTTATCGTCGCCAGATTTTCAGAATTTGTATGTAGAGCTGACCCCAAATTGTGTTTCACGCAAAGGGCAATAGCACTATGATCATCAAACTTAGCTTCTTCATCCTCCTTCTTTTTCTGAGGAAAAACAAGAGTACGCAGAGCTCCAAAAAGACCACCCGCAGAGAGGGCACCAGAAAAGACAGATTCAAAAATCTTCCAACCATCATAACCAACACCAAAAACATCAGCCTTACTATTCTTTAGACATACAATGACAACACCAACACAAATAACTAAAGCACACAAAGCAACAATAAAATAATGTTGTCGCTCATATTTTTTGTCAAGAGAAAGATTTTCTTTAAATTTTTTTTTCAATTCAATTAGAAGGCGTTCCGTTAATTTCGAATCTAGAGCTTGTTCGGTATTGGGTTGGGGGGTGGAGTTTGTCTCAGTATAGGGGTAGGAATTAGAATTAGCGGTGCTGTTGGAGTTCAGTGTTGTGTCCATTGCTGATGGTGGTGGTGTTGAGGACGACATACTCTCACGTGAATATTTATATAGTTTAACAAAGTTTTTCTTGGTGGTCAAATTTATAAAAGAAATGATATTTTCTTATATCGAGAAACTTTCAGAAATGCAGTTTTTATAGAGCAGAAGTACGTAATTTATTTGAACTTCATGTTGGTTTTGAGACGAACACAACATTTTATTATTTTGAGCGGATAATTAAAAATGCTTACATATATTGCATATTTTCAACAAGTTACATGTAGATAGGAGTTGGTGTATCAGCTAATGGTTTCACCAGTAATGGGTAAATTGAATAACATTAAAGTTATAGATGTATAATAACATTAAGTTAGATATATAGGAATTGATTTCGAACAGGATTCGCATTTATCGTTATTGCAAAAGAGCTATTGACAACATCAAAAGAGAGAAACAAAAGATATTGCAAGAATTTTTTAACGCCAAACTTTATTCTACAAAAATTTATAGATTCTAATAAGTAGAATTTTTCTCTAAGTGCATCCTCTATAAATGCACGCACTATATAAATTCTCTTTAAATGCACGGTGTGGCTTGGTTCCAAGTTATAATAAACATATATATTTTACTCTCTATAAATGCACACTCTCTCTAAGAGCACACTCTGCCTGTTTTTTACTATGGTCCCGAGGGGGGTGCACTTAGAGAGGTTTTACTATTTCATCTTTCAGCCGCACTCTATCATATTTTCGTTTGTACATTTAATAACTTTTCACATGATTTTTTATGATCTAACGTTATTCAAAATTTCCATTTATGTATCTCGCATAATCGTAATGTAACACCAAAAGTTATCGTTATTTTCATCTTTTTGAGTTCTTCTAAAAGTTGCGATCCTCATACAAGTTGATAAATTCGTAAACAGCCGTAAATACATTATGTAGTGTTCCTGCATTGGAAATCCGGTTTTCCTAGATGTTTTCTAATCATTCATCAGGAAGTACATGTATTACAAGTATAATTTACACTTTTAATAGTAAAACAATATTACAATATAGAATAACGGTCTGCAAGTTTGTCTCTTAATATTGTGTCAATTAAGGGATCGACATCCCGTTCATAGTTTATTATACGCTTCTATGCCAACAACTGTAACACAAAGTACATGTATCGGTATATCGTCGAACCTTGCGAAATTAAATAAAACTTTATCTAGGGTGTTATATTTTAGTATACTTTCAAGTATTTTCTTTTCGTCATCAGTTGTAAATCTGCGTTGTTATTTTAGATGATGAATATTCTCACCATTTGATTTTTCTTTTCGTCATCAGTTGTAAATCTGCGTTGTTACTTTAGATGATGAATATTCTCACCATTTGATTGTTCTTGTAATTGTTGTTCATTTTCAATTTGATCATTTGCGATATATTATTTTTTGTTTGCTGAACTCACTTTTTTTTTTTGTGTTCTTGGTGGTGATGGAATTGCTAATTTGTGTACTATCGCTATGTACCACATTACGAATTTATCAACTTGTATAGGATCACAACTTTTAGAAACTCAAAAATAACTTTTGGTGTTACATTATGAGAGAGTAGGTAAGGATACAAAAATGGATATGTTTTGTTAGAAACATCTAGGAAAACCGGATTTCCAACACAGGAACACTATGTGCACAATGACCTTTTGTATTTCAAATACATGTAACTGAAACATCCTGATATAGAATTGCATCAAGTTGAGTGATGTAAAGATTATCGTTATACTTACGCATATAGCAAGTAAATATTCTGGACTAATTTTTTGAGCATTTATAAAAAGTTTATGTATATTAGAATCTGATAAAAAAAATGTATACAATTTATTGGCTAAATTAAATAAACCTTCATTTCATAACTGTACAGCCCATTTTTTTTCTCTAATTATAACCAATGATCTCTTTCTGTTTGAACAAGAACTTATTTGTAATTTTAATTTATTAATATTACTTTTTCTCCAATATTTTGCTTGATGAGCATGGTATCAAACCTTTTCAATATCTCGTTGAATCCAAAATAATATCCAGGTTGTATGAGATTTACCAAACATAAGATACAAATCATCTTCAATATATGATAAAATGTGTTACAAATCTGGCTTAATTACTTTTTCCAGCCATTGGAAAAAGTGAAGAAATGCAACAAATATTTTATTTGTATGTTATAGTTTTCTTGACAAATACTAATTTTATAATCGATCCAATAATCAATTCAATAAAAATAACCATTTCACACACTGAATAATAAATTTTCTTTACATATAATATTAATATTACTTCTTAATTAATTTTTGTTGTATAAATTATTATTTTATAGCTATCTATATCAATTCCAATACATAATATTTAGTTTGATAATTAATGACTCTTAAGTTTATTAATCTGAAAAATTATTTATTAATATATTATATATATAATAATAAGTATATTATTAACTTAATAAAAATCTTAAATTTTTATTTTTATTTTTTTTCTTTGTATATAATTAATTAGTAAAATTTCTTTATTGTATATAATTTAAATATTTATTATTAATATTATAATTAGTTATTTCTATATATATTACAAATATTATAAATATATATATTATAATTGCTATATACTTAATTAAATATATTTTTGTATTTAATTATTAAAATATATAATTAAAAAATATCTTATATTCTGATTTTTATTAAAAGAATTATTATTCCTATTTGTTACAGTGTAATCACACTCTAATTCTATGCTAATTTAACTTACAAAGTAAGAATTACAAATTAAATTTAAAGAAAAGAGCCATCAGAAAATCTAAAATAGAGAATCACAATGTGACTAGCCACCCAGGTGTGTCTGTGATTACGTGAAGCCTATAGGATTAATGAAAAGATCATTTTCAGATTGAAGAGTATATATTAATGATGTTATTTGATCTCCTTGGAGATCAGCGAGACCTTCATCAGGGCATTGATTGTTAAAATGAGCAGAAGCTGGATGCTTGCATGAACAAAGAGTTATTATTATTATTATTATTATTATAATTATTATTATTTTAATTATTATTATTATTATTGTTTTAGTTATTATTATTTTAAAATAATAATCTGTTAATTTATAATTATTTTTCTATAATAAATACATATAATTTAATTATTGTTAATTAATTTTGTAATTAATTTTGATATTAATTATTACTATTAATTTAATTAATAATTATTTAATTTTAGTTATTAAAGTGTTTAATTTTTGTAATAAATTTAAAGCTTCTTATAAATTGACTTGCAAATTAAAATTTTTATTTGTTATACTTTTATATTAATTTATTTATTAATAAATAATATATAAAAAAAGCTTGCAAGTTAAAATATCTATTTGTTATTTTTATATTTAATTTGAAAGCTAATTTATAAGAAACTTTTAAATAAATTATTAGTTTTAATTTAATTTAACTATATTAATATTAATGAAATATTAAATAATATTATAGTATATTTTATTATTTATAATATTATATTATATTTTTATTGATTATTTAATATTTATTATATTATTAGTTAATTTTATTTGTATTTTAGCATTACTAAATTATATTATTAATATTAAATATCAGTATTAAATTAATCAATCTGATTGCAAAATTAAAATATTTAACCAATCAAATTGTAAAATTAATATATAATAAAATATTCAAAACAAAATAAAGTGAAAACAAATTTTTTAAAAATGATCTATATCTTGAAATTTTGCTTATAAAATTGCTTTTCATATATTAACAAAAAATATTTCTTTTAAAATTTTGCATTAAAATAATCTTATTTTTATCTTATTTTAAATTTTAATTCAGATTAATAAATTTATAGTATTAAATATTACTGGATATTTTTATTGAATATTTTTAATTATTATTATTAATTAGTATAATGTATAAAATTTAAAATTATTAAATATTTGTATTTTATAAACTGTATAAACTTCTTTACTAAGAAGTAAATACAAAATTTAATTTGTAAATATAATAAAATAAGTTCTTTCTGAATATATTTACAAATTAAATTGAAATTATTTCTTAGTAAAAAAGTTTATATAGTTTATAAAATACAAATATTTGATGATTTTAGATTTTATGTATTATATAATAAATATATAATCAACTTTTTCTATAATAAACTGATAGTTCTATTAATAAAAAAAAGTTTATTATATAAAATTACTATATTTTTTTATAGAATTTACTACTCTTTCTATAACAAACTAATATAAAATTTAAAAATTTAAGATTTGTTATATCTAGAATTTATTATAAAAAGATTTATTATAAAAAGAATTAATTGTATTAATCTTTTGATATTTAAATTTTTTGATATTATTATTATTTTAGTGAGTTTTTATAATCTTTTATAAATTATATATTCTTTATGTATTTTTGATCAGATAAAAAAATTATTATATTTAATTTTAATTAAAGATTTTATATATTTTAATATTTTTTTTAAAGATGAGAAAGACTAATTTACTAAAGATTTTATAACTAATTATCTAAAGATAGATAATGAAATATTTATATTGTTGAGCAACTAGAATAAGCTCAAAATTCTTTTTTTCTTCTTATTAAGTTTTTAAATAATAACAATTAACTTGTAAAATAATAATGATATTAAATAAAAAATATTGCTTATTATAAATAAAAAATCTTTTAATAAAAGAATATAAATAAAAAAGTAAAAGAATAATTAATATTTAACTGAAAAATTTTAACTTAAAACTTATAATACAATTCATTTCTAAGAAGAGTTTGTCAAAAAATAATTAAATTATTAGATAATTAATTAATTTATTTAACTTTTTAACTTACTTTTCTTGAGTAAAGATATATTATATTTATATAAGTTATTTGTTACTCAATTATTTAAATCTAAAACTATATAAAAAGCACTTATTCATTCACTTACTTAATTATTATATTTTACTTGCTTAATATTACATATAATTTATAATTAATATTAATTAAATTAGATAATATTAATCAATTAAT